ACACACACACACACACACACACACACACACACACACACACACACACACACACACACACACACACACCTCTAATGTAGAAATCTTGTGACAACTAGCCCCTATACATGATACTACTACATTACCTGGGTGTGTTTCCGAAAGAACACGCCCTGCACCCTCCCAAACACCTCATAATCTACACACAGCAGCTCTTCAGAGGACATGATCACCTGAAACACAAACCACTGACCTCAAGCAACCATTACAAGAGCTCGGACCACAGCATCTCCATTCGGAACCATGAGATGCGCACTGTATAACGTACCGGCAGATGCACGATAATAAAAGGCTCTCTGCTTTCTGAAATCCGCAGTCAAATCGACTTCACTGGCGTTTCAGATGCAGTTTATTCACACGTGAAGAAGCAACTCACTGTGTCGCTCACGAAGCCGCACATGCGCAGCAGCAGCATCTCAGCGCGTCGGACATCCGGGTTACGGCACGACGTCTGACGCAACTAGCCAATGGTAAATCCGCGTCGTCTTGTTCCTAAGCAACGAGTGTAAACACAACTCTTCAAACATTGATTTCGCTGAAGCTGTTGACATTCACAGAAAACACACGCCGGTAAGTTTGAAGCTAAATAGATATTAAACATCTTTAGGCGAGTGTCTAAGTGCTTATGAAGATGTGCTGATTAAGCCAAGAGGGCTAAGAGGATTTTAAACACACGCTCAGCAGCTGCGGTGTATTGAGACATGGGGGATAATATGTTTAAACATCGCTCTAATCTGCATATATCTCCAGAGCTGAAATCTGAACAGTGCATACATTCTCGTTTGATTCAAAGACAAAGGTTTTTTTTACAGTACAGAGATTTTTAAATCTCTTTTTTATAATCACTCCACAAATCGGGAAATACTGTCAAACGTTCAGGAAGAAAAATAAATTCATTAATTAATTAAAAAGAAGGTACAGCAAACGACTAGCTACCTTTACGTTTAAAACGTATTTTAACCCGTTTAATCCCAGATTTTTCCCAGACATGAGAATATCCAGATGATGTGTCATTAGCAACCCTTTGAAATAATCAATACTTCTGGTTTTTTTGGGGGAATTTTATTTAAAAATTGTATTTTATGGTCAGTCACAATTGTAACCGGTGGGATAATGTGTGCACTGAATAATGTATATGTCTGCAGTCTTAAAAAGGGTTATATATCTTAGCCCAGCTATTTTAAACAGTTTGATCACATTCTAGGGCTACTATTATGCAAAAAAAAAACCTTATACAACACTGATAGAAATACTGAGATCAAATACAACCGTCAACGTATTTCAAAATTGTTACTTTTTTGTAACATATATCATCACGTTTTTATATCAGCGCTGCCAGTATTACAACATTAATATTCTACCTTATTTGTAACATTTGAACTTTTGATTTAGTGCAATATCTTGCACTGCCAGTGACCGGCTGTTGCATGCATTAAATGCAACCTTTTTATTCTGACGGTGTATGATTTCTATTAACATTACAGAGTACAACATGATCTATATTATATTTCAACGTTCAGTTTAAATAACTGTAATTGCACAAACTATGTAGGCTACCATTTCAATTTGTTTCTTGTGAAATAACTCAAACATTTATGTTTTTTTCTGTCCTCTGATGAGCATTGTTCAGGGCTGCCGTTCCCAAAAGCATCAATGGTTTCTTATGATACTTTTGGGAAACGCAGCCCTGTTTGAATGCACTGTGATTGGTTCTGTCTTGCAACATTTGCGTGTTTAGATGACAATTACTCGCTGACAAAGGTTATTCGTCCAATTCAATGCATATTGTACGCATTATTAGTTTTGTTAAATAAACAAAACCACTGGTAAATAAAACGCACCTTAGTATCGATATTTTTTGTTTCGATACTCGCGTCAGTATCGATATATCGATACTCCGGATCGATACGCCCATCGCTAGAAGAAACAGGAACAATCTGCACCTCGACTATTTTTAAAGACATGTCTATGTGTTGACCCCAGGTTGACCGAAGCTGTTATTAGACGATCGGCTCCTGCTGAAGCTGTTTCAGAGATTTACACGCTGCATGAACATGCAAACGATGCCACACCACCAATTCACGCAGCATTTTTGGGAAAAAGAGACCGTATCAACAAAACTGCCGTACCTGCACAGAGAGGGCATGAGCAGACAGCGCAGTCCCTCAGGAGCTCATCCCAACTCCAGACCGCATGCTCTAGAAAACCAAGAGGGACCGATGAGCTCCACGAGAGAGAGACAACAACCCTGGCAACATCCAGACAACATCCGTAGGATGAAACACATACATCTGGAGGAGCAGAGTGAATACGTTCCTTCACGGAGAGCATCAGACAAATTATTCCCTCTAAAACCAGTCCTTCACAAGAGAGCGTACAGCCTGAGTAACGTCACGAAACCAGAACATCAGGAGAGACTCTACTCGTGTCTGACGGATCAGGCGGCTGTTAGGCACCAGCAGAAGGTCGTAAGGAAACTAGACGCTCTTAATCTAATAGGGAGAACAAATCAGACAAAGAGCGATATGGACCGTGAACAGAAGCTTGAAGCACAAACATGGCTGTCAAAGGAAATCCACTCTAAGGAGATGGTGCTCCAGGAGAAGATTTTCAAAGCAGAGGAGACTCTGAGAAGAGTCCAAAAAGAGAGGAAGGACAGTGCAATGAGAGATGAGAGGAATAAAAGATATTCGGATAAGCTAAAGGAGGACAACAGGTTCTATAGTAGTGGATACGGCGACTGGGCTGAGGAGAGGGACCGATATGGGAATGAAAAGTGGGAATTCAGAGATGATATGGAAAGATGGGGGGAATGGGAGCGAGGGATCAATGGTAGCCAGCTGGAGAGGAGCAAAGACAGTGCAAAATGGGGACAACAACCATTGATGTTAGAGATGGCGAAGGCTCGCAAGCTGGAGGAAACGAGAGAGTGGGATGAGTACGAACACATAGCAAAACACAGGAGCCGGGAAATGAGTAACAGGCAAAACATGGGATGGGACAATGTCAGAAGAAGAAGGGCAACGCAGAACCTCTATTTGCACAATGAAGACGATGTGAGAAAACCCAATCTATCTGACTCTGAGAGAAGGGACAGACCTCACCTCAAGCATGAGAGGAGAGAACATAAAGACGGCTCATATCGACTCGCATCGAAACTCACGAAGGAGGCCGTCCCGGAGAGAAACCCCAGACAGAGAGGAAAGCGCCTGGAGCTCAGTCTGGAGGAGGATCCCGTGATCCCGTGTGACGTGTGCCATCGGTGCTTCGCACGAGACCGTCTGGAGACGCACATGAGGGTGTGTGAGAAAAAGCGGCCCCAGCGCAAGATATTCGACATGTCACAGTACAGAGCCAAAGGAACAGACCTCGAGGAGTTCATGAAAACCAACAGCAGGAGCAAAACACCAGAAGTAAGATGCTTTCTTTTAACTCTATAAAGCCTGCTGTATCATATTTGAGACGCAAAGGCCTCTAAATGATCAAGATGAGCACGACTTTACTGATAGTTCATACTTTCTAGTGTACTTTTAGTGTACTTGTAGAAACGTCCAGCTTCAGCTGGAGCTTCACGTGTCAAATCTGGACTGGTTTTGATCAAGTAAAGGTCAGAATAACGTCAGTAATATCTCCAGATGAACACTTACTGGACTGAAGCAGCTCAGCTTTACTTGATTCTCCATCAATCATGTTTTAGAGTCTCAAATCTGATCCTCAGGATCTTTTGAGGAGCCTTTATTTCTTCAGCTCTCAATCGTTGCATTATATGTTTGGATCATTTCAATCTCATCTTACTGAGACATCAGTATGTCAGTATCTGCTACACTGTTATACAGATCTCACTGATTTACATTACAAGTATCAGAATTTCATCATATAAATATCAGCATCTGCACCAAAATTGCATATTTTTGAGTCTCTGAATAAAACTGAGCTGTTTTTTCCCTCCATTTTCTCACTATATCAGACTATATGAGCCGTAAAACCTGATCGACCAAATATGATACTCAACAAAAACACTTTTGCATTTGTTAAACACACACACACACATATGTACAATAAACAGTTCCATATCAGAAAATTATGCAAAAAAAAAAAACACCATAAAATGATCATAAATGAATGATTTGTACACTTAAGTGATATGATAGTGTGAGGAACAGACTCAAATTTAAGTCAAATTTGACTGTAATTTACCTGCATATTGACCTTGGAAAATAAACATTGTCATGATATTATTTGTCATCTGCAATTTCCTAAAGGACTATCTGTGTTTTGTGGTAAACACAGCTTTTCTGTGTACTATCCGTGTCTTTACTGATGTCTTACTGTTTTTATCCACAGCTCAAGAAGAATAATTGGCGACAGAAACACGAGGCCTTCATTCAGACCATGCGTCAGGGTCAAGGAAGTGTGCCACCACAGTTAGTCTTGAACCTGAACCCAGAATATGTTAGCTGCCCTCACTGTGGCCGCAGATTTGCCCCAGGTCCGGCAGAGAGACACATCCCAAAGTGCCAGAACATCAAGAGCAGACCACCACCTCCCAAACAGCTGCACAGCGCCACCAGGAGGAAGACCACGCAGTGACATGTGCTTCAGCAACTCTCTGTTAGCAGACTCCTGCTGTTAGCGCGTTTGCATTGAACTTCAGAGCAGTCTAACATCTTTAGTGTGACATATCTATATATATATGCTGTGTGCTTATTCAAAACAACTTTGTCTGGAACACTTTAGAATAAAAAAAAATAACTACAAAAATTGAATAAAAAATCTTCTAATTCTATTAAAAGTAAATGTAATCGACAGTAAACTGATTTAAAGGAAAGATGTTTGTAAATTCAAAGTAAATCGCACATTAAAATATCCATTGTTTGCATTTTTATATAATTCCTTTGCTTTTTGCTATACAAAAATGACTTAACTTCCCCATCAGAAAGAAACTCGAGGGCCTTTAGCCCTGTACTAATTAACTAATTACACTCTTGCGGCTCATAAAATGCATTTATGTCCTCTGTAGAGATCTTTGGTTTTCAGTGAATTTCACATCCCACTGTTTTATTCCGACTGTGTCTTTAAAAGGAAAGGCAACACTGTAAGGTTACATTTTTGAAATGTTAAGTTTTTGATGTTAATGTATTTTAATTTTGACAACAATTTATGAATGTACCATTTTTTAATTCATGCTTGTTCATGATGCATTGTTGTGATATTTGTTAATTGCTATTTATGTTAATGTGGTTATCCATCCTCCGAGAGTCACTCGCCTGTCGCCATCTACTGGTGTAATGACGTAACAGAAACGAAAAGAAATCAGTAAAGACGTGTTTTTGGTAAAAAGACACTAAAGTGGTCATTGCTGGACAAAGTGTTTGAATCACATAATTAATTATTATCTTTTAAATCATTAATCAAGATATTCCAGTCGTGATACTGATAAAAATGACGCAAGTTACACAGCTGCTCTTGCCCACGGACTGCTGATTATTGTGAATTATAGCACTCGGCTTTGATATCAGTACAATTACTTCACAGGATGAAACCTCTTAGGAAAATAGTGTTGTTGTGAAGTTATGTAACAGTTCCATAACAAACAAGATGCTTTTGGAAATGTTCATTGTGTAAGTGAGCTAACATTAGAATAGACTCTATGCACGAACACTGCTTACGTATTTATCGTAGAATCTCAGCCAGCGACTTCACTTCCGTATCGCGACAGAACTCTTTCTTGACGTATTGTAAACAAGAAATAATTTGTATCTTCTAAATAAGTATTGTTAGAAGCATAAACATATATAGCATCTCATTCTAGTTATTGCTTTCTGAACGTTTAAATATTAACGGTCGAAGACAGTAGTTTCGCCAAACATTGTTGCGCTACACTCTTAAAAATAAAGGTGCTTCACGATGCCACAGAAGAACCTTTTTGTCTAAATGGTTCCATAAAGAACCTTTAACATCTGAAGAACCTTTCTGTTTCACAAAAGCTTCTTTGTGGCGAAAGAAGGTTCTTCAGATTACAAAAAGGTAAGAAAGAGATGGTTCTTTAAAGAACCTTTGACTGAATGCTTCTTTGTGGAACCAAAAATGGTTCTTCTATGGCATCGCTTAAAGAACCTTTTAGAAGGAACCCTTTTATAAACTGATTGCAGATGTTTGCAAGAAAATGTAATCTATTAAATGTAATCTACAACTAATTAAGTACCTCTAAAATGAAGTTTCTGTAACACCTGTGTTCTTTTATTAATGTATAGTGCTTGTTTTGTATGTTATTGGGCAGGGCGTGCCTTGCTGTATTACACAAGTATAGTATTATGATAATTCATTCCGATAATTAAAAATACACTTACACTAAAACTGACCCGAGATCAGTTAGAACCAGAAACAGTATAACGAAGCGTCACGTGCACAAAAGATTCTGAATTTAACTGATGTTTCGAAGCGTCAAGAAGCAGTAGCTGTTAAAAATATGCTGTGTTCTAAATATCATACTACTCTTACTATTTATACAGTATCCAGTATGTATGCATAGTATGCACATTTTCTGTATGCATGGAATACCCGGATGACCTACAATACACTGCCATACAACTCCTACTGTATTGCAGTACACTGTAAAACAGGATTGTGATTTTAACAGTAAAAGACTGTAAAAATGCTACGGTAAAAACCTGTTAACTGGTTAACAGTAAGTTTCCATACTATATAGGGTGAATAAATGCAATTACATTTAATGGAATTTTACAGTAAAATACTGTTAAAAATACGGTTTTTGGAAGTGAAAAAAAAGCCATTGTATAATTTACAGTGAAAAAAACGTAAAATTGACACTCCCAGAATTCCCTGCATGACGCTTCATATTTGATGGGGGTTTTTTGTTGTTGAAATGTTTCTTCTTAGTTTTTTCTTATCAGTTGTGTAGCCTACATCAGGGTTTTACTGATGTTTCGAAGCGTCAAGAAGCAGTAGCTGTTAAAAATATGCTGTGTTCTAAATATCATACTACTCTTACTATTTATACAGTATCCAGTATGTATGCATAGTATGCACATTTTCTGTATGCATGGAATACCCGGATGACCTACAATACACTGCCATACAACTCCTACTGTATTGCAGTACACTGTAAAACAGGATTGTGATTTTAACAGTAAAAGACTGTAAAAATGCTACGGTAAAAACTTGTTAACTGGTTAACAGTAAGTTTCCATACTATATAGGGTGAATAAATGTAATTACATTTAATGGAATTTTACAGTAAAATACTGTTAAAAATACGGTTTTTGGAAGTGAAAAAAAAGCCATTGTATAATTTACAGTGAAAAAAACGTAAAATTGACACTCCCAGAATTCCCTGCATGACGCTTCATATTTGATGGGGTTTTTTGTTGTTGAAATGTTTCTTCTTAGTTTTTTCTTATCAGTTGTGTAGCCTACATCAGGGTTTTATCTTACACCTAATGTTGTTAAATGAATGTTTATTGCATTATTTCAGTATCATGTGTGTCACCGTGATGGGGTTTAGTGTTTGTGTGCATGACACTGTGTGCACCTTCTGTATATAAGTATTGTCCTCCGCAGCTCGTAGAAAAGCTGTTTGTGATGAGCTTTGGTTGATCGTGTGACTTTCTCATCACCACCAGTTTTTGGTGGTTATCAGTGCATTACAATGATTCAAAACAGATTATTATTAGTAGTACTTCAATATGCTGGTTTATTAACATTACATCCGTTAATGAAATACGGTATTTTATTGTGAATTTAAGTTAAGTCTGTAAAACCTAAAATGTTGCTAGTACATTTTTTTACGGTGAAGTTCTGGCAACCACAGCTGCCGGTATTTTACCGTAAATGTCACAGATTTTTTTTGTTACCGTGTATGCTACGTGTATACTGTGAATAGCATGTGAATTTTCTGTATGCATGGAATGCCCGGATTACCTGCTGCATTTGCTGAAATCTGATGAATGCATCAATGCTCACTTTTATATGTACTTATATACATGTTACTGTAAACTACAAACTATTGCTCTGTATCTAAAAACAGTATCGTTAGTAGGACATACATCGCTACGGCACGTTTCCGATCAAGTCAAATGACGTCGCCTTTCTATAGCGCTTTATACAGTACAGATTGTTTCAAAGATATTAAATAATAATATTGCAGTAATATAATATATAAATGACATATACAAATAAAAGTAATATTTAAATTATGCAAGCAAAATTGGTGTATGGAGGCCTTTAGTGTCCCAATAAGGTGACATCCATTTAATGACATTAATAAATATGATAATTTACAAGCAATACATACTGTTTTATAATGTACTACAGTACTGAGGATATAGCTGCCACCTAACTACTAATATACCTAATATCTGCCACCTAATTGTTGCTTATTGTATACCGTTTCACACACTATTCTTAAAAAAAATAGTAGCTAGTATACACTGTGTACTGGGCAGTAAGCTGTAAGCTAGTGTGCCGTTTCGAACACAGCCTAAGTGAAGTTGAAAAGACCAAGGGCTTTTTGAGCCAGTTGGGACAGAGCCCTATGGGTGCGTCCCAAATTGCGTACTTATGCACTAGTCTATGATGTTTTGTAGTACACTCTAAAAAATGCTGGGTTAAAAAGGGACAAACCCAGCAATTGGGCTGTTTAGAAACATAACCCGCGGGGTTATATTTAACCCAGCATTTTTTAGAGTGTACTCGCCTCACATACTGTTTTTCACCTACTAGGCTATATAGGAGGGAAGTATGCCATTTCGGATGCAGCGTTGAACACTTCATGCACTCGAGTATCTGCGAAGGGGGAGGGGCTATTAGACTCCGATTATGAACGACAAAATAAACTCAAAATTCATACACTACATGGCTGAGTACATATAGTGTATAGTGCATTGGGGACGCAGCTCTACTGTTTTATCTGAAACTGTTTTTTTAAGTACTAGGTTGTATACACTACATACTGTGCTTGTTCAGTGAGTGGTTAGTCTGAAACAGCACGCAGTATACAGTACGCAGTGAGCCACTGTGTACTGCGAGCCCTCCACTGGCTGCGTGAGAAACCCCGTACAACCGGAAGCGGAAAAAAAATCCCGCGGCATGAGTTTCGCCGCCATTTTGCATCAGAGCTGTTGAAAAGAGTGAGATAGAAAACAGACACACGGCGGGGTTTGGCCACGTTATCCTCTCTCAGTACATTTCCCTCTGGATTTATATACCCAACATAATCCGAGCTATTAACTGACAGGTATGAGAGCGTTCTGTTGAGGTTTGGTGAAGGCGGAGTCGCTTGTGTTCGCGGTGAAAGTGACGCTTCGTGTCGCACCGGCTTCTGCGGCGCGTCGCGTCTCGTTTCAGCGCAGCAGCGCGTCGCGTCTCGCACATTCAGGCAAACAAGCGTTCGTGTGTTGTGTTTGAAGTGTGTCAGGTGCTGCTGAAAGCCTCTCGCGGGGGCTGAGGACAGGCTTTATCAGCGCGCGGGGCGTCCACCGCGAGTGTGTTGTGGCCTAGCGAGTGTGCCCTTGTCCGACACAACAAAGAGACACAGCCCGCGCAGAAAACCTGCTTTAGTCCACACCGACGACAGTTTGACGTAAGCGAGTCGCACGCCGTGTAAATAAACGCGTTTGTGATCCGACGAAGCGGCGACTTGCGCTGGGTGTGTGTCAGAAATGGCCGTTTGGTCCGTAGCCCGCGGGCTGCAGCTAGCGCACGTGCTGCCGGAGCGGGAATCTAGCGCACGTGCTGCTCTGAGTGACAGATACAGCACGTGAGCGGTGCCTTTGCGCTCTCTCCTCGCGCGCCGTTAACAACAGCAGGCTGAAGTGTCATACATGTGTTATGCATGCGGTGTTTGCGAATATGGTAGTTGGTTTGGATCAGACGAGTGCTGATGTGTCCAGCAATACAATGTCTCTGTATGACTGAGTTGCATCCAAGTGAAGTATAATGCATTTTTGAAATCTGATCAATGACAGATAGCCTACTTGTGCTTGAGAGAAAGCTGTGAAGAGGTTGATGCTTATTTGCTTGAGCATTGGCCCCATGTTTGGCCATATTGAGATTATGGTTAAATAATGGCAGTCAATGTCTCAGTATCTCAATATGGCAAACAACAGCTGATAGCCTGCTGTATAAGAGGCAGTCTTTCAGTACCGTGGTATCGTGTGAGACCATCTCTGTGCTTTCACAGTACTTTGTAATGACAGGGAAGCTCTATGAAGGATAGAAATGAACAAGTATTGGGAGTTTGGCATCACAGTAGAGTAATTCAGTGCATGGTCTGGGCATATTGTGTTCTGCTGGGTAGCACTTATGTAGTTTCCGATACGATACCGATACTTTTAAAGGCCAGTATCGTCTATACGGATATGGTACTTCTAAACCTTTGAATTATGAAATGTATTAAATTACTAAGAGTAAAATTGGTAGTGATATCCACTTAACTTTATATTTGAAGCACGTTTTAACATTCGATACGCTTTAATTGCAACTTATTAGGTTATATTTGTGCTTGCACGTGGTTAAAATACGTTTACTGTAGTGGTAACCTACTAATACTATAGTTTAATAATACTAATAAGTACGGTCACTTCAGTAAAATCATGGTTCATGCTCTCCGTGATTGATTAGTTCTGTCTTGCAACATTTGCGCGTGTTCAGATGAGCAGGAAAATAGTTCTATGCTACAGTTATTCGCTAACATTGGTTATTCGTCTAATTCAATGCATATTGTACGCATACAATTTTTTGTTAAATAAGTATCGATACTTTCGATACTTCAGGATCGAGACGCCCATCCCTAGCGTTGGGTAGTTTTTTTTTTTTTAATTTTTTTTTCAGCAACAAGATGTTAGATTTGAAAATGCACAGTATGAAATGAATTTAAGTGCTGTAATTGGTCACCGTTCATAAGTGAAGAGTAATTTCTGTGGCACAAGCAAGCGGCAACCTTCCGGTCTCTGCTGAAACCAACACGGAAGTGACTTATACTGCAATTCATCGACTGGCCGCTAGAGGCGGGCTGCAAAAGAGAGTCAGTCCCATTGACTCCCCATGTTAAAATGCCCAACTTTACAGCAGAAAAAAACATGTTTACAGCCTGGTGCAAAAAGTGATTTTGGTCTATATAGCTAATTTTGCTCTTTGTGACAACTGTGAGGGTGGTGAATTTTTTTTATAACTCATCCGTTTAAATTATATTAAGCCTTAAAGTTGTGCATAATTAAGGGCGTGGCCACATGAGTGACAGGTGGATTTGCGCTGCTGTCACCACTGTGGAGCTAGGTGGGCGTGGCTTCAGCAACCAGCTCCACCCACGTCCCGCCTCGTTGCCCATTTTCGATTATCCAGGAGTGACGCGCTTCCAAGATGGCGATGGCCCGCTCCGCCCACTTTAGGCTTAAAAATGCTCTTCAGAAACCTACGGGTGACGTCGCGGACACTACGTCCATGGGCACAGCATCAGCAGATAGAAATGGCTGTTATCAAACAGGTTTTTCTGAACACTTCCTTCATCTGTCATTGGCCAGACAAACGGATTGTCCCGCCCCAAAGCAGTGATTGGCTCATTGTTAATGTGTCAGGCTGGCTGTGATATTCAAACAAACAGCAGTGTCTTAAATGTACCACTAGGAATGTCTCACAGCTGTCTATGAATACTGCATTGAGATATGAAGAAGTAATATAGAGTCATTTACACTTTTTTTGCCGTCACTGATTCACATAAATCATGCTGTGGTCTAATGTGTGTAAAAATCCCATGTAATATCTCAAATGATAAGATCTAAAACTAGAGTCTGATATTTATTTTTTAGGACTGATACAGATATTAATTGTCTAATAACTCGTGTGCATGAACAGTTTTTTTAAATTAGGCCTGTTTCTATGTTTTGACTCGCCTAATAACTATATGATCAGTAGGCTGCAATATTAAAAAAGTGCTTTATGAATTTATAGCCATTGTAATGTTTATATAACGATTAATCATGCATGTTTTTTTTTTAAGTCTTAATGGTTTCAGGATATGTTTAATTAAATCTTTCTCGTTTGATTCTCAAGAATGGCTGTTTTATTTAAAATCCAAACAGCATAATACATTATTCCTGTGAATGTGGTTCCTTGGAGCAAATGGTGGTTTGACAGATTATCTGTATTCTAATAAAAACTGCATGCATATTGCATAATAGTAAAAGAGTAAAGATACTGTTTATAAGCATTAAACGCTGCTTGCAAGTAAAATCAAGTTTGTCCTGCAGCCTTTCAGCATCTCTCTACTTGTGGTGATGAAGACAGCCGGCAGGCACCAGATCGCTCAACTTTGACCCAGTTTTGGATTAATTTGGCCCCTTACATCTGCACAGGTCCCGGAGACATGGCCACGGAGCATATAAATGGAAATGGTTCGGATGAACCAGTGGAGTCTTCAGCGGCAGTTACCCATTCAGAGCACTTCCAGACGCTACTAGACGCCGGCTTACCTAGAAAAGTTGCAGTCAAACTAGATGAGATTTACATAGCAGGTGAGACGTTACGCATCTAACTCTACATACGACTGAATGTTCACTCTTAGAAATATAGCTTCCTAAAGGAGGGGGGGGGGGGGTTCCCCAAAGGACCTTTCAGTCAAGAGTTGTGAAAAGAGCCGTTTTTGTTTGTGTGTTTGTAGAACATTTTAATAATCTAAAGAATGTTTTTCCACTGTAAAGAATAGGGATGCACAATATTATCGGACCAATATCGGAATCTGCCGATAATGGCTTTAAATGTAAATATCGGCATCGGCCCGATTTGAAAAATTATGCCGATATGTCTTGCTGATAAGAGGAATAGGTTAACTCGTGTGCTAGCGATTACATCACGTCAGCAGTGTGACTCATTTTTGAAGCAAAGTTTTGTCTGAATGATGATTAGATTCACTCTTTTGGATCGCTGCATTTAAACTGAGAAAGTGATAAATATATCGGTATCGGCTATCGGCCAAAAAGAGTTAAAATATCAGGATATCGGCAAAAATCCAATATCGTGCATCCCTATTTGTGGATGTTAAATGTTCTCTGTGGAACCAGCAATGCCAATAAAGAACCTTTAGTTTTGTATTGTGGTATTTGTTTGTGGCACGTTTCACAACTTCCAATATTTCACGTTTATGCTTTTTCCGGATGTTTTATTCAAAGTGTCTTCAAGTATATACATGCATTCAAGTATACATTTTTCTCCTTGGAATTGAACCCATGACCATGGCGTTTTGTGTACTATTATTTTTTTCACTACTGGCACTAATGATATACCCAATAACCAATATATAGAATGTATTGTTTATGTATGATTTCCATAATTTGGGAAACGTGGACAGAATTGCGGAATCCAGTCATAAAAATGGAATTTACTGCATAATGTGGAATGTCACGGAATTTGCCAAATTTTGGATGAATAAATCAAAAGTAGGTCATTACTCTTAAATCATGGACCAGTATCTGTAAATATTAGGCCGCAAAAATACTTTAAATATGAATCCTGCATGTTCTGTGTGTCTGTATGAATGAAAGGCGCAGACACACGGTTTCGTTTACTGCACATACTGAAGCGCACTTGACGTTCGCGGTGATTGCAGCGTGTGCTGTCTCACTAAATGAGGACATAAATACATGACCAACATCTCCGAAACTGGTCTGAGAGTACTTCATTAGCATTTTACCGTTTAATTTAAGTAAAACTACCGTCATATCATATCGAGATGAGAACCAAAAGGGCATAAGTAACATTTTGAGTGAAATGTGTGTGTATATATATATATATATATATATATATATATATATATATATATATATAT